TATTATTAAAAGAATAATGCAAAAAGTGAAAAAAAGCATAAAATGCTTAAAATTTGTTCTATAAATTATAGTATTATTTTAATTAACATTTCTAAATATGCATATGATATAGTAAATTAAAATTTAATGATATTTAATGCTACTTAATTCTATGCATATAATGATTTTCTGTGGTAATATTTTGTAAAATCTGCCTTAAAATTGTAACGTTTCGCCAACTTTTACAATTATCATTTGTCACTGCAATTTTTTATATCATTTTTTTAAAATTTGCTAATTTTTTTTATAAAATTTTTTCAAAATTAATTCACATTAAAATATATTATATTTGTCTTTTTAGAAAGATATTGACAATTATTATTTAAAATATTATTATATATTGAAAAATTCCTTTTATTTAACACATTTTAAAACAAAATAAATATAAAAATAATTAATAAACCTTAAAAATGATTTAATATGATTGGTAGATATATGAAATACTTTTTTTGCAATAATTTGTTAATTTTCATAAATCTGTTAAATCTGTGGATTTTTGCTTAAAGTAGGAGATCACTGTTCCTGTTATGAATTATATATTTTTAATACAAAAATTTAACACTATTTTATTATAACATGTGCATATAATTTTGAATTATATATTTTTTAATATAGGAATTTAATTAAAACTTATACTGAGTTAAATATATTTAATATTAACATATGCATATAATTTTGAATTATAATTTTAAACACAGGAATTTAACATTATTTTATTAAAACATATGCAATTAAATATTTAAAATTGACATTTTTTAAAAAGCTAAAAAAATATATAAATCAATAAAAGATATAAAGTATGTATTCATTACTCATATTAAATAATACAATACATGTATTACTAATTTTAAATTTATGATGGAAAATTGTAATGTTATGTAAGGTTTGTATGATCGTGTAATCTTACATAGAATTTTATCATAATATTTTATAATTTTATGAGCTTATAACTCTACATAGGATTTTACCATAATATTTTATAAATACTATGATACTATAACCTTACATAAGATTTCATTATAATATTTCATAAATATTATGATACTGTAATCCTACAAAGGATTTTGACTATAATATTATGTAAAAAATATGATCTGTAATGCTATGTAGGATTTTATCATAATGTTTCGTAAATTTTACGAACTTGTAAATTCACGTAGTTTTAATATTGCTAAATGACCTTGAAAAGGCCTCAAATGACATCAAATAATCTCACTTTAATTATAAATTTCAAGTCAAAATGACTATGATCAGTTGAAGAAATAGTAAACAATCTTATAATTTGATATTACTGTGTAGTTTTACAACATAATACTTGAAATATTATAAATCATAAATCTACAAAATATTATGATACATTTAAATTCCAGATGATATAATAAATTTATATAAAATTCTACTTATAATTTCTATTGGTAATTTTTATTGGTTTTCCTAATATTACTTCTATTTATGAATTTTTACTTGTTTTTCTAATTTACTTCTGTTTATATTTTTCTTATGAATTTCTACTTTGTTTTTTTAAGGATACTTCTGTTTATGTTTTATTACGAGTTTCTATTCTTTTTCTAATATGACTTCTGTTTATATTTTACTAAAAATTTCTACTGTAATTATGATATTATATGTTACTCTTATATTACATAAGCTTTTATGTGATCTATTTTGTTATTCTTAACTATTGTACTCTTTATGTAACCTTTCTGCATATTTGTTTACTTCCACAATTATTATTTTTTTAAAATATTTTCTAAGTCTTTTTATAAAACCTTCTATTCAGTTCATTAATTATATGATTTCTTAACCTTCTATTCAGTTTTTTAATTATTCTTTCTTTGTTTTATGTAATCTTTTCTTTTGTGTTGTAATTTATTTTTATTTCTTTTAATATATAATTATTTCTTATTTTATTATATGATTTTTATTGTGATTTTTGTTATGTCTTTTTGATCCTTATCATACATATGTATTGCTGTGTTTTAAATTATGAAATTGTTAATTCTACATCTTCATCTGAGTTTTTAGTATATCATTTTTTTTTATTTTTTTTTTATTTCTTATTTTATGAATAAAGATCTTTATTTTAAATTATAATTACTTGATAAATTTTGAAATATCATGAATTAAACAATTATATAAATATTTTTTGAAAATCAGTTTTAAATTGTAAAAACATTGAAGATTACTATGCAATTATAAAGAATAAACACTTAACACTCTATTTAATAATTATAGACAAGAATTATATATTAATATTACTTGATAATTTATTTATATAACTTTTTTTCAACTTCAGAAAAAAATACTTTTTAGTTAAAATTAATCAACTTGCTTTTCCATTTATTTTAGTATAAGTAAAACTTGATAATATCTAATGTTTTATTATATTATGATTAATATCTAAATTTTTCATTACTTTATTATTTTCATATTTTTTTTACATATATAATAAACCTTTATCTTTTGTTCTATAGAATATGAGATTTGTTTATATTTTATATTTGTTTTATTTTATCTCACAGATACTATTTAATTTTTAAATTGGATAAATTGTAAAAGATCCAGAGTATTTTAAGCAGTATTAGACAGTAGTAATTAACTTATCAATTTCTCTATCTTTCTTAATCATGGCTTTTTCTAATATGAAAATATGAGATTTATATTGCCTCTTCAAGTTAACAGCCTATGAATTATGCTGGTCTTCTAGCTGATAGTTAAAAGAATATGTTATCTGTTTGATATCTATTATACATTTATTATATTCACTCTTTAGATGATTTTAAGAGTATCATACTTATCCTTTAGACATTTACGTTTCTCACTAACCAAAGTCTTAATAGTATTCTTAATATTATTTTCCTTCTGTTATAACAAATAACTTTACTTTTAAAAGCATTTAACATTTTTTATTTTTGCATTTATTGTAATAAACTATGCATAATGAAACAGGTTTAAACCAGTGATGGGTTTTGAACACATTTTTTAATTTTGGATATAGTTTTGGACAGATGAAATTGTGTTCAAAACTATTCAAAATTGTTCAATTTTTTAATACTGATTTAAACTATTATATATATACCGATTAGAATATTAATAATTATTAGAAATATAAGGATCAGAAACTAAAATTTTTTAGCTTTAGATTAATATTATTTTTTATTTTTTGAATTACCTAAAAATAAGATAATTAAATTTATAAAAAAAATATTTTTATATTATTATTATATAAAAAAATTTTATTTTTTAAAAAAATTAATGTGATCAATAGTAATAATAAATAAATCTGATGTTATTATTCACTACTATTAAAAGATATATAATCTTATATCTATTTAATAATGATAAAAGATATATTTTTTTTATTATACAGTAATATTTAATTTTAAATAAAGATCCTGAAATCCTTCAAAATTGATTATCCATTTTTAGTAAGATGATCGCCAGGTAGCAGAATTTTTTCCGTGTCTAAAGATCAAATTCATCTTTCCCAATGTATATTTTATAAATCAATTTTTTTAGGACATGGGAGCTAAACAATCTTCATTTGAAACACCCATAATAATTTATAACGATCCTAATATTAGAGTAAGTAAAAAGATTTCATGCTCGAATCATTATATAGGACATCAATAACATTTATATTAAAAAAATTCCTTTAATATAGTTTTCTCATGGTCTAGTTGATCAATTACAACTCGAGAAGGAGCGAATGGTAAAAAAAAAAATTTTTTTTTTTTAAATTCAATTCAAATTCATTCAATGATTACGCTTCAAGTTATAATTTTATGTATCAAAATAGAAAAATGCCAAAAATGAATCAACCTATCCTTCAGACATACCACCCATTCCACCTGCTGGTGGTCATTTACTTCCTGAAGAATTAGAAAATATAATTAAAGTACGTGTAGATAATGAATTAAACCGACTTCGTGAAAGAGATGATGAAATTGCACAACGTGCTCAAGAGGAACTTAATAGACAAAGAGTTATACTTGGAGATAGTGGTGCTAATTCTGTCGCTACTGAACTTGATACAAATGCACTGATTGATAGAATTCAAAGGTATTGTCTCTTTCAATTCTTTTGATATTAAATTCGTAATATGATTTTTGAAAAACTTTTTACCATTATACATTATTATTATTATTATTATTATTATTTTGTTAGGAAGTATGAAAATAAAGTTTCATCCGAAGTAATCGAACAACAACGAGCTGTCATTTCTTGTTATCAGTAATTTATACAATTTGAATGAATACGTCTTTATCGATTATACAAAGACTTTAAATAACAGTTCTCTCTTTTTTTTTTTTTTTAGGAATAATAGTTCACGAACTCTGGATTGTTGGGAGGAAGTACAAAAATTCAAACGCGTTACTCAAGAGGCCATTCAAGTAAATACATACTTAATACTTTGTAAACTTTATCGCAAATTTCTAATTTTCCTGTTTATTATTGATAGGAATTCGTTACTTCTCATCAATAATCCAATCAATATTAATATGGGTAACAAATTTATTTTAATAAAAACATGTTTTCTTGAATTATAAAAAGAAAACTACTTAGTTAAACTGTTGTAAATTTAGTTTTAAATTATATATATCCAAATAATTATTATAAATAATATGGCGAGCTCTTGTCTATTTTATTAATTGTTCAGAAACTTATTTAATAAAAATTTCAAAGATATTTTCTATCGTTGAAAAAAAAAAATTTTTAATGAAAAATTTTAATGAAAGATATATAAAATAATGAACAAATAATGCAAAAATAAATAATAACGAAAAAAAAAAGAAAAAGAGAAAATTTACAAGGAATCAAGGATGAGATCCGAAAAAGAAATTTACCGTCATTTTTTACAATTGGTTACCATAAACGTAATTGCAAACAAACTTTGAGTTCCGCCCTTTCAGATAGATTAAGAAAAAAGTTCTTTAAAGCATTATAAAAGCGCACCAAATCTACATATTAGAAGAACGTGATAGAAACGCGTATCCCAAAACAATAGCAGTCAGTACAATGGCTACCGTAAATACAATACTACCATTACCACCGCCACCCGAACTATTATTTTTCTCACCACTACCCCGTTTATTTTTAATTTTACGAGGCTTGGATTTTTGTGGAATTGATGATATTGATCCATACCCGAAAACACTTTTAATGGGATTCCAATAGTATGATTGCCAGTTATTGCGAACGGAATCTACTTCTCCAACAGGGACTCCTTCTTGCATAATGTGAACACGGGTGTGATCACTAGCTTGTTCAAATCTCATAGTAACAGTAGAGAAATGTCCTAAAAGTAATAATTAACAACAATTGATGGGTGAGCTCGGGCAAATTAGAATTACTTAATAACGTTTATAAAAGGTAATAAGGATACCTTCTGGCCAAGTTTTTAGGCGCCATGTCTGTACAATCTTTTCATTTGGAACCTTCATGAAAAAGAGATATATATCACATTTTAACATGCAAAGTTTTTTTCTTTTTTAAAAAAGAACCTTTACTTACTAATTCCAAAATATTTCCCGTAACATTTCCCTCGAATAAGCTAAAAGTACTACCAATATGTCTAAATATGTCAGGTCTAGATCTTGTCCAAGCTGCGACACGACCAGGGTCAAATAATGTTTCATAAATTTGTTCAGCTGAAGTTTGTAATTCAACTATTTCACTAATATTGGTCGTGTTAACGATTTTCTGAGTTTTCTTTATACCAATATCCGGTGTTACGGAACGAGGAGGAGTTGATGTCGCACTTCTTTGAGCAGGGTCAATTGGTGTAACTGCCCTCGGAGGAGTTGCAGGTCCAAGATGAGAAGATTCAATCTTAACGTCTTTACTATGAGCTGACGGATATGATAAAGAGAATTAGATTTTGGTATCAAATTTTTCCTTTTTAAAGGTGATCAATTTTTTTTTTTTATTTCTTGACGTACTCTCAACCATATCTTTTCCGAGATTCTTAAGATTATCTTTCAACAAAGGAATTAAATTTTCGCGTACAATTTTTTTAATTGGAATTTTCGTGTTATCTTCCTCTTCAACTGTAATCACGAACTACAGCAAATACATGATATTGTAAGATATTTTATTCATAAAAATTATATTTAAAATATATTTATCTATTCTACCTCACAGTCTTCTTCTGATCCAGCCTCCAATTCAGGAATTTTAATCGTGCCTTTAGCTTCAATACCATCAGTAATGTTGCCTAAAATCAATGATAATCAATTAGGTTGAATTTTAATCTGACTTTGAAATATTATATATATTTTTTTTTACCTGACCAAGTTAATTCTAGCATTAAATCAATAATAGGAATCAATTTCCCTTTTCTTTGATTTAATTCGGCATCACCTGAACATTCTACCAAATCATTTGTTTGAACATTGATACCGTTATTTTCAACTTTAAGATTAGTCAATTTCTCCTTCAAATATTCTTTAGACCAGTTCAAACAATTTTTACTGGTCCTATAGTAATATTATTTCATGGATTACTAATTTCGGCCTTCTTTTTCCATAAATAATTTGAAAATATGTAATTTACGTCAATTATTCTATTTAGTACACTTACCAATGCCTAAAAGTAGGAACATAACAAAATTATTATTTTCTTCAAAACTTATTTACAATTTACCGAGTATTGAATCTTTATTCTTACCAATTATTCACATTCTTCCAGTTACTCATTTTTTATTATAAAAAAAAACCAAAACCAAAAAAGCCAAGAAGAAAGAAAAATAACCTAAGGATTGTAACAGTTTAATTTGATCTGTTTTGTTTCCTTTCCTTTTTCCTTTTAAACACTTTTCGGATTATACGAAAGTTCTCGTTCTTTCCATATATTATCGGAGATCAATGTGAAATTTCTAGAACAATCTAAAAGGCTGGTATGATAAATACTATATATGATCGGCAAATGATCGGCATCGTAGTCATAAAATTTTCGCTATATTTTTAAAAAAAATAGAGAATTAAAATAAAAATCATAATCACAACTGGCCAAGCAGAATATGTAACGAATGATTTCCATTATCTATAATGTGTTTTTGTATAATAAATTAGGTTTAATCATTTATTATTATTATTATTATTCTTTAATCTACTTAATATATAAAAAATATTTACATATTAAAAAATACATTATTATAATTAATTTGATAAATAAAAAAAAAAGATAACGATAAAGATGGATCGTGTTGTTTCCTCTTTTGTTTAGAAGGAAATTTTTTTTTTAGAAAAATTCACGTTTTAAATAAATAGGAAATCATAAATTACGAATCATCAAATTTACTGACTATTCAAAATATTGCAAAAATATTGGAACTACCTACTTATTATATTACAAAGGAAAAAAAAAAATAGGAATTCATTTCAATGAAAATTAAATATTTTTTTTTTTATTGACTTTCCTCCCCTCCCCCGTTAGGTTACTCACAATCACATATGCCACCTCAACGTCATCGCTCATATTATGATGATTCTGAACATGA